GTCCCTGGGACTCTTGTGATGTCTCAAGTAAGAGGATGTAAGTATATTTCATTCTGGAAAAAAGTCTTTTAGCTGCCTTAGGACACGAAGGATATCACCTTGTTTTGATCCTTCAGGCTGATTTCACGATTCTATCACAAGTTTTCGGTCGCATCGGTAGCATTTTAGTATGATTTACCGTGCTTACCAGATTCAGACTAGTGTTCTGTAGTTGCCTAGTTAGAGAAGAACGCTTTTTCTTGTTGTCGAAGGGTCACACTGCTGGCTGCAAATCTATTAAATACGTCTCTTACTGGAATCAGACCCTTCAACAATCACAAAAACTCAGTTTTCATTGTACAATCAAAGACGACTATAGCCCCTCGCCGTACCTAGTTTTAACAAGAAAAAAAACCCTTCGAGAAAAGCATTAGTTATATTTAGAATAAGTAGTCATCAACTTAGAATTGAAACAGGTAGATACGAAAACATTCCTCGCAATGAAAGGATATGTCACTTTTGAACAAGTAACTGCAGCAAAATCGAAGATGAAAATCATTTCTTACTAGATTGTAAGGCTTATTCTCAGATCAGAGACATATTTTTCTCCAAACTAGAAACTAAAATACCTGACTTCAAATCACTTTCACACGATACTTTAATATCTCTTCTTATGAATTCTTCTGATTATTTAATTAACTGTCAATTAGTTTCATTTATCTCGCAATGCTTTGAATTAAGAACCAAATTAATATCAATGAATGAATGAATGAGAACTGTAACGTTTTGTAATGTTTGGCACGTACTAATTAGTTGAATTAGTACTTAAATTTAGACTAATAGCTCAGTGCAATACTGTAATTCCTTTATGGTCATGCAAATAAAGCTTTTGGTGTTGTTGTTATTAAAAGTGACATAACCTTCGCGTTTTTCATTTATACGATCACTTTTGCTTGTTGCAGGAACGCTTGTAAATGGCGTGAGATTAACATGCACATTCTCCATACTCATTCCTTTACCGTTCATCTGGCGCTAACGAGAAGAATTTGATTAGAAATCACAATGTTTTTCGCTGCTGAGCAGTTTCCTCTATTTTCAGTCTTTTATGATTGATACTGTTCAGTGGTGGGATATATAGCGAGGAATGTAAATTGATGTTGATCACTGTTAACCGTACAAAAACTGTTTCTTGTGATCACCGACGAACAAACGCAAACGCACCGACGGACATTTCAAGTATTTCAATATTATACAAAACTTCCAGCTAAAATCAAAATTGCCCGTCGGAAAAACGTGAAAGCGCTAAGTGCTTTTTAAATGTACGAGTGGTCAGAAAGATACAAGAATCCTGATTAAAAAGAAACTTTCGCAAAGCCGAGAAGGCTACAGTTTCCATTATGTTTGGTAAACTTTGGTTTGTTTTGGTTCTTGGACCTGTGGGACCTCAGGGACCTCTGGGCCGAAGGTTCATGATGTCATTATTTTCAACAGCCAATCAGGGGCAAGAATTTGATTTGCATATGAATAACATACCAAAAAAACCATTGAATTTGTAACCAAGCCGGGATAGCGCAATTGGCATAAGCATTGAATTGGTAATTAACTGGCAAACAAAGAGGTGACGGGTTCGAATCCCGCCTGATTAGCATAAAAAAAAAAAAGAATAAAATCGCGGCTTGGATCTGGGAGGGCTTGGGGCGAGGAGAGGGAAGAAAAAGGCCTTGGGAAGGGTATGGGAAGCGGGAGTTGGTACACCGGCCCGGGGGCGGGCCAGGGAGGGCAGGGAGGGGGGGGCAGGCAGGAGGGAAGTAGGTAGATAGGTAGGGGGTAGATAGATAGATAGATAGATAGATAGATAGATAGATAGATAGATAGATAGATAGATAGATAGATAGATAGATAGATAGATAGGTAGAGGGGCAGGTAGAGGGGGTAGGTAGATAGGTAGAGGGCGGAGGGTTGGGAGGGGAAGGAAGGGAAGGGAAGGGAAAGGGGGGGTCTAGCCTGCGAGCAAGGTCTCTTGCTGCCGGGATTGGGGAGGGTTGGGTGGGGTGGGGCAGTGAGAGACCTTGCTCGCAGGTTAGACCCAGGGAGGGTTTTGCTGCTCAGCAAAATTTTTTTTTCTTCTTACTTTTATAAAATTCTTGACTCAAAAAAAAAAAGCACTTTTAGAAAAGGATGCATTCACGTAAGAAAAAACGGGAAAAAAAAAGGACGTGTGCGAAGAAACAAGCGAAATTTATGATTAAACATTTGTCATTACTTAGGATCAACTTCTCCACACTTTTTCCCACATTCAACTTCGCGAGTTAGTCTACTTATAATACGTTCCTTTTCTTTAATGCAGTGGATAAACAGACCATGAAGTTCCAAACTGCTCTTCGTCTGAAGTTGGAGAATTTTCTTTATTGGTCATGGACCTTGGGGACATTTAACAGCCTGATT